CTCCACTAGATTACACCAAATTAGCCGCCGTCATCTGGGACGACTCATAATTGCAGCTTTTTTATTGTCTTCATATCATTTTCCAGCTGAGTTTTATGCATATATTTACTTTTTATATATATTTATGCACATATTTACGTTTATACATGTGGCGTTCTTCACTTCATTTTCATTTTTTAATCCATCGTGTGTTTGTTAAGCCTTAGTCATTCATGGTTACAGCCCACACACTTAAGAAAAATGGTTCATCAAAGGTTCTTTATAATAAAGGAAATGGTTCTGGTTAGAACCATGAGTTCTATACAGAACCATTTCATGCCTAAACAGTTATTTGCATGGTGTTTTTTTTCAGAGGAGAATGAGTTGTATATGTTCTACACAGGACCTTTTCAAAATGGTTCTGTATAGAACCAAACAAGGTTCTGCTATTGTTATGAGCTTAACAATGTAACAACTGAACTCTTTTTGGTGCTATACAGAACCATATACAACACATTCTCCATCAATCTGAAGAACTGTCATCATGCAAAGAACCATTTAAGGTTGCAAATGGTTCTATACAGAACTCATGGTTCTAAACAGAAAGACCCCATCTTTATTTAGTGTGTACTTGATGTCTCACTTTGATTAGCTGTTTCATGAAACTTTGTTCATGAAGCTGAAGTTGCAGCTGAGTTTCAAGTGAGTTGCAAGACGCTTTACATTATGCAACTCAAGTGCGATTTAGTTTCATAAAGGTTTCAAGCAACTAAAGTTGTAGGAAAGTTTCACCGTGCAAAGCCAGGCTAGAGAAAACATACAACTACAGAAATAAGCTCTCTCCCCCCACTTCCTCTAATCTCTCTCTCTCTCTCTCTCTCAGTGTGGCTCACTGAAGGCTGGAGGAATGTCCTGCCAGCAGATCCTCAGTGGTTCAGCGGGTTTGTGGGAAAGCGGTGCTGGTCCGGCAGTGGGAGTTACTCAGAGGTCACTCTGGGACGATTACTGTATGAGGATGATACACTTTGAATGCTGAAGCTGGAGTTAACTTCTCGTTCCCATCACTGACATTCTGTAGTTAAACATGTCCACTCTTAAAAAAAGGGTTCTTTAGTAAAGACAGTGGTTCTATATAGAACCATGAGCACTCAAAGAACCACTTGCATGCTTAAATGCTCTGCATCATTCTTCAGATTGATAGGAGATTCTGCTGTATGCAAAAGGATGATGCATTAAATGGTTCTTTAAATCTTTGTGGTTCTATATAGAACCATTGCCTTCACTAAAGAACCCTTGAAAAAAACATCTAATAGTGCAGTTTTCATAGTTGCACTGCTGAGAGGAAGCAGATGTGCAACTTTAACCCACAGAAACCTTCGACACACTGACTGACCACTGCACTGACCTCAGAGCAGCTCAGGGTTTTTACAGTTTAGAGATTTTCACTCGTTTCTCATTTTATTTTTTCATTTCAGTTTCAGTGTCAATGGTCCATTTTTCCTTAAAGCAATAGTTCTAGTTTTTATTTAGCTTCTGTTTTCAGGTATTTTATAAGCCTAGGATAAAATTAGCACAACAGTGGACTGAGAACCGGGTTCCACTTCTGAACTCATTCACACACTGGAAAAAAAAAAACAACAACATAAAACTAAAAGTTTTTTCTCAGTAATTCTACTTTGTTTATCTAGTGTTGCAGTAAACATTATAGCTTTGATCAGCCTTCATGTTTTTATTTTTAACACAGTAAATAAGAACATTTTTTCACCGCTAGTGTTCGTTTTAACGATGATAATGATGTAGTTGAATATAATAACCCAGCATCAGCACTGCGCGTTCAGTCTTAGGGCTACACAATAATATCAGAACCACTTTGGTACCAGCAGATATTTCCCCAAAACAAGAAATCAGTTCAGATCTGACTGATATCTGATGATGTGCTGAGTGAACTCCAGAACAGCTGAATGTTTAAGTGACGCTGAGTTACTAAAACACTAAAACATCTGCATTTTATTCATTTTACAGCATTTAAAACTCATAAATGTCATATTTCTCCGTAATGCTGATCCAGATTCAGTCCCAGCTTCTACATTCTACATTTGAAATCCTTCCATTTAGAACCACGAGTTCTACACAGAACCATTTCATGCTTAAATGGTTATTTGCATTGTGAAATTTTTTTTTCAGATTGATGGAGAATGTGTTGTCTATGTTCTGTACAGAACCTTTTTGGCATGGATCAGCACAGAACCAAAAAGGGTTCTGCTACTGTTATGAGATCGACATCGTAACAATAGAAAAGCCCTTTTTGCTGGTATACAGAACCATATCCAACACATTCTCCATCAATCTGAAGAACCATTTCACCATGCAAAGAACAATGTAAGAACGCACACGGTTCTATACAACTCATGGTTCTATACAACTCATGGTTCTATACAACTCATGGTTCTAAACAAAACCAGAGCCCTTCCTTTAGTGTGTACCTGATGTCTCACTTTGATTAGCTGTTTCATTAACTTGAGGCGCTTGCAACCGTTGCGGCTGAGTTTCAAGTGAGTTGCAGGACGTTTTGCATTATGCAACTCAAATGGATGTGTTCGTATCGGCATCGGCAGATATGTACATGAAAAATATCAGATATCAGCATCGGCCCACTCATATCAGAGCATAATTATTAATACTAAAATTATGTCTTAATGGAATTATTCACATGTTCAACATTTCTATTCTTCCCTTGTTTATGCAGCAGTTAAATCTACCTTTTTTACTGGAGCTTAATTGTTTGAAATGAACCATGAATTCAGAGAAAATGATGTTTTAAGTCCCGTTACAGTCTAAACTGGCACAATGAAGGAAAAAAGCCATGTGAAATGCCCTTTAGACTCCACTGTCAATAATTAGTGACATTTCAGGATGAACCACAGTCTTATGACTCAAAGTCCATCAGCTTAAACTCAACTGAACTTCTAAATAATCCGTTAAATAGAAGAATAATAGCCATGTAAACGCCTGAATCCGATTACATTCCAATCGGAACGTGTAAGTATGTTCTGCGCATGTGCGTCGCGTCACGGCGAAAGTTTACACCGCTCAACATGGCGGAGCAGAAACTGGTCTGGACTTCACGTGATGTTCGCTGTCATGGTAACGTTTACTCTAAGCGCTACTCCACGCATGCGCGTCATTTTGCATCGGATTACTTGTAGTGAGCATGTAAACGAAGATTTTCCAACAGATTGTTGAATAGAGTGCATATAAACACCTCAGTCTACATCTGTAATCGGATTGTATTCAATCGGATTGGCAAAAATCGTTGCATGTAAACACAGCCACTGTTTTAGGATAGTTTTGAGAAGATTTTGGCCTTAAAATCCATTCATTGTGAAGGGATACATGCAGGGCGCTGTGCAGAGGTGGGAACATGGGTACATGGACTTCAGTAAAATACTGTATGGATTTGTACTCTGAGTATTTTCAAATCATAATATTTTCACTTTCACTCAAATATATTAGTAAGCAATGGAGTTTTTACTCAGTTCCATTTTAGCCGTTCATGTTTAGTTACTAATTCCTTTTTTTTTCTTCCTGTTTTGCTGGTGACAACATCTGCACTGCTGCGTGACTGATCACATCTCCGACTCTGGAGCTTCAGCATTTCATTTTAGATGAAAAATAATCCAGAAAAGAGAAGAATAGAGTCAAACTTCAGCTCCTGTGCTGACAGACACTGGATTTACTAAGGCTACGTTCACATTACCAGGCTGACGTGGCACAAATCAGATTTTTTGCCCTAATGTGACTCAGATCTGATGTTTTTAGGGCTGTATGAACACAAATCTGATCTTTTCAAATCTGACCTGAGTCACTTTAGCTACGTTCACATTACAAACCTCATTTCTCAAATCCGATTTTTTGCTCAGATCTGATCTCTCTGACAGGACGGTTGAAACTCGTTTAGGTAAGTGATTCTAATCTGTCATTAATGTGACGAACCGGCGTCCTGAAATGACCCTCATGAGCTCATCCTACTCAGTAACGTCACGTGAATGAATCACGTTCATCATCAGCACAAACTAACGAGCAGAACGAGCTTCGCTGAGAAGATCATTAACTCTGATCAGCTCTCAGCTTCATTATTAGAGCGAGACGAAGGAGAAAAAGGTGAGATGAGCTGCTTTTCCACCTTTACAGGCTTTAACTTCTGTTCGGCGCTGCTGCCATGGTAACGCTGAATGATGGCGCACACGCAGTGGAGAAAAAGCACATGAATTCCGATCTTAGCGTCACATTAAGGTCGCATGGCCACGAATCAGATACGTATCCGATCTAGGACCACATATGAAAGTGACTCAGGTCGGATTTGAGAAGATCAGATTTGTGTCCACACAGCTCTGAAAACATCAGATCTGAGTCACATGAGGGCAAGAATGTGAACATAGCCTTTCATATGTGGTCCTAGATCGGATACGTATCCGATTCATGGCCATGCAACCTTAATGTAAACACTCAGATCGGAATTCATGTGCTTTTTTCCCCCTGCACGTGCGCCATCATTCAGCGAATAACCTCTCAACAAAGTTTTATTACACGCTTCTATAAACTAAGAATAACTCCATTCGTTTGTATTGAAGTCCCTGTAGTTACTGAGTAATAAGCCTGAGCCTTTAAGGGGATAAAGTAACAGGAGCCTCGTGTATCTTTTATACTGTGATAGGAAACACAGTGGCTCACAGAAGGCTCTGATTCCAAGCACTAATATTTTGAATTATTTGTGAATAATATTTTAGCCCTCAGGTATTTTGGACGAGCATGATCTTTGATGAAAGTCTGGACGTCCTTATTTTAAGGATATTAAGGGATATTAAGACTTTTTCCCCAAAACTATATGCCCAAGAACCACTGAGGAACCTTTATATTTTTAAAACTGTGTAGTTTCTTCTTTGTCAAAGTGCAAAGTTATTGTGCACATTACAAACACCACCCTTGCAGCACTTCCCACAAGCCTGCTGCTGACCACTGACCTGCTGGTAGTCCTCATCCTGGGGTTTGAAGGTGTTGTCAATAGACTGCAGCCTCAGGTTGACGTGAGGGAAATTATGAAGCCAGTAAGTCCACCAAGGAGCAATATAATCCACGCTGGCAGAAGAAGACATCCTGGAGCAGGAAGAACCTGGAACCAGCGCAGGAGAAAGGAGAGCACCCCGGGGCTGCTTTCCCCAGACAGAGAGAGAGAAGAAAGAGGAGAACCGATGTTATTGTCCCGTTTGTTTCCTCAAACAAAAGCCATGCGGTCACAAAACCTCCTCGCAGATCCAGGAGATCCAGCAGATCCCGAAACAACAAAGCCAAGCAAAACTCCAGCCGCAAAAAACGATCGATTACTGCGTTAAATCAGATCTTTTGACCATCATCTTCCACCCATCGTCCTCCTCATTCACTCACTCACTCAACAAACCACGAGGACTCTACACCGCGCGCGTTCACGAGAACACGAACACGCAGGGGGCGCGCCTGAATGGGGCTAATGAGACTCGGCCAACCGAGAAGGAAGAAGGAGGGATGTTTTTTTCACAGATTCACAGACAGAAATGTCTGATAATCCGACTCTGGGTGTGACAACAAAGTAAACAAAACGATTGAGAAAATTTAATCGTTATTATTTTTGTCTTTTTACGTATTTTTAATGATAATTAACTCCTACACGGCCGCTGTGCACACAATAGCCGTCTCAACCCCGCCCTCTGCTGGACACGCGGTGAAAGTACACGTAGGCAGTTACCACAGCGCGGGGCGGGGCTCCACAGATAAGCCGGTGTTTAAAGGGGAAGTCCACCCAATTTAAAAATTTTTCTGCACTCTTCAATAGTTGAGAAGTCAAGTCATGTAGAGCGGTTTGATGTGATAGAGATTAATTTTTTCCTCTTATTTTCTTTTTCTTTTAACACTGATGGTGATAGGAACCCAGGGTTGCCAGGTGTGCAACACAAATTCAGCCATTTTATTTACCACTAGTACCACCAGTTTTTATTTTAACCATCCTAATTTTAATTTCTGATTTAATTTGAATGATTTTCTCTTTTAAATATATTGTTTTAATCATGTTTTAAATTTCTACTCTTACTTTACTTTTAGAGGCATTAAACTGGACTAACCATTTTACTACATCAAAAATCAATGGACTTCCCCTGTAAGACTGAGCAAGTGGCTGTGTGCTCCCTCTAGTGGACAAAAATATATCAACTGCATTTACCTGTACATTCAACACACCTTACCGTAAGTCAGCTGTACACGTCACCACACTCTACCAATTGTAATGTTTATTGTTACACAGAGAAAATCTACATGTCTAGTACCGGCTCTAGATTTTTGTTGTTTCCTGGGTGGCACATTAGCTGCTGATATTAAAGAGCCCAGGTCCGAAACTATCATTTTGCATAAGCTCCCATTATTAAATATCATAATTTGTTCATGGTGGAGGGATGCATGGGTCATCCTACAGAAACGGCCACTTTTCTATCTCTCCATAGGAGTCACTGGTGTTACTGATCCTCATTGGTGTTCCACATAATAAAGGAAACACCAGAGACATTTTTAATGAACAATGCATTTTACAGAATGGCTGCTACAGAACATCAAACCACATGTTCTCAATCATGGAATATCCACTAAAATATGGAATTTAATCCATTTGCGTTCTATTTTTTCACAACTACCTCAGAATAAAGTCGGTCACACCAGTGACTTCAGCTAAAAGCTTCATATGAAATCATGAGCTAAATGAGAAAATCTCTGATAACTGAAAGACACAGTGGACTCACCATGAGCTTTTCTTCATAGATCCTCAGAAAACAGGTAAAAGCAAGTCGAGTGATGTCATCAGTGTGACTTTTATTTCAAAATAAGAGATTTTTGTTATGCAGTAACACCAGTGACACAATTCTCGGGGACAACAACTTTCATTATATAATATTTATTTGGCATTTGTTTTCTTTATGTCATTTAATTCATATATTTCATAGTCATGTATAGATTATTGCAGTTAAAATAGCAGAAAAACGTTTTTTTTTTACCTCAAAATATGGCCTCAGCCTTCACACATGACTGTGGGGACGAGCTCTTCTGTGGTGCTTGGAATTCTAGATAATTGATTTAAAAACCAATATTGCTAAATTGAGGCTCAAGAAGGTGCAACTGTTAAAATAACATTGTTTTATTTTACAATATAAATAAATTGTAACCCTAACATGTTTAATTGTAATATATCTGTGAACACTAGGGACACAAAAATGGATGTTTCTGTAGAAAGACCCACATACAGGACACTGTTAGGCAAAATAGTCCCCAAAGAAAACGCATTATTTCAGATTTTCCACTATTTTATCATCCACATTCCATATAAACTCAGAAGACTCGTGTAGGTTCACTGGTGGTTCTGGATAGTAAATAAAATGTCTATATTTGTGTTGTAGTCATGGCGACCCCTGGTTCCTATCACCACCACTGTAAAGACATCTGAACCATTTCACACCAAACCGCTCTGAATCACTCTGTTTATGTATCACGTTGAATTTGATTTTGTAGGAACCAAAATCTTGTCTTAAAGAACTATTACTGCATATCCAACGCCCTGCAGGGTTCCCCCTCTAGATTTCTCTTTAACAAAAGAGATGTCAAACATTCACAAGATTCTTTATGGTCTCCACATTTTAGGACATCAGCTCTGGTCTGTTTCAGCCCAGGTCCTGGTTCTGGTTCTATTCTGATCCAGCACTGAACGAAAGCCTATAATCCTCCGTGTCCTCCACGGCTACGGTCACACGGCAGGTAGAAGTGACCCAAATTTGATTTTCTCACCAAATCCAATTTGTTTTGTTTGTCTGTTCAGTTTATCTTTTAAACGTGATCTGTAGGAGACATCAGTCCGAACAGATCAGCTCCTAAACCGACCCACATGCTTCACCCAGCTTCACGCGGCTCATCCAGAGGTAAACAATCCCGACTGCCAATGAACACCAGTCGCTCCCGGAGGATCAGCTTCATCTTCACCAGCATCACAGGAGCCATCATGAAGCTTCACTGACTGACAGCTGGGCTCATCACCCAGAATGTGTTTGAGCCGTAAAAAGGGGCGGTCACTTCTTTGGTTCGCGTCCTCGGATTCTTTAAACTTTGCTTTCAGACTATTAACTGTTCTGACGCTGCAGCCTCGTTCTCCTGCGGCCGCGTTCGGACATTTCTTTCAAAATCTCTTCAGAGGATTTCGGATGAGTCTCTTCTAATTTTTTAAAAAGAGAAACATCAGCCAAACTGTTAGAGTCTCAGCAGCTCTAAACTATGACGAATGTGGAGTTGGATTGACAAAAGTCTTCAGTACCACATATGAAAGCGTCTGCAATCGGAATTGAAAATGTCAGATTCGGTGGTTTTATCTGTTTACACTAGCCATGTTCACATGCAGCCTAATAGTCTGTTAATAATCAGACTAATAGCTTAATCGGAATAGAATGCGTCCATGTAAACACCTCAATCGGAATAGTGCGGTCCGATTGAGGCCATTCGGAATACAGTTTCTATCTGATTGATCAAGGTGGGAAATCCTGTAAATAATCCGTTAAATAGAAGAATAATATCTGTGTAAACGCCTGTATCTGATTACATTCCCTATCGGAAAGTTTAAGTCCGTTCTGATCATGTTCGTCACGTCATAGTGAAAGTTCATACCGTTCAACATGGCGGAGCAGAAACTGGTCTGCAGAGGAGACGAAGTTTATGCTCTGATCTTTAAAAGGCGGCGGTGGGACGGACGTCCAGCTTATGAGTCTCAGAACACGACGTCCTCCTCTCGGCCTTCTTTAATAAGGACATGTGAAGGACGTTTTCCTGAGTCTGACATCATTTTAAAGTAATTAAAAACTCCAGCGCACCAACTGGATCACGTGATGATCGCTGTCATGGTAATGTTTACACTAAGCGGTTCTCCACGCATGCGTGTCATTTTGGATCTGATTACTCGTAATGCGCATGTAAACGAAGATCTTCCATCAGATTGTTGAGTAGAGTGAGCATAAACCCCTCAGTCTGAATCTGTAATCAGAATGTGTTCATTCGAATTGGGAAAAATCTTTGAATGTAAACAAAGACACTGACGCAGCTGTGTGAGATCAGATTTGGGCCGCTTTTACCTGCTGTGTGAACAGAGCCCAGGACACCATGTTAGCACTGATGCAGGTTAATCCCAAAATAAACAGAACAGCAACGTTTCTGGTTTTTCCCAATTTTTATTACAATATTTTGTACAAGTGAGACGTTTACTTCAGCTCCTTAACAGCCAGACCTGCACAGAGAAACGACAGAAACACAGGGTTGAGTTATTATTCCACTCAAAACTCAATTAAGCAGATTTGATTAAAAACTGATGCACAGATGAGTAAAAGACGGTTCTTCAAGGGTTCTTTAGTAAAGAAAATGTTTCAATACACAACCATGGACACTCAAAGAACCCACTGAATGATTAAATGGTTCTTTGCATGAATGTGCTATAGATACAAGCCTGACATCACAACAGAACCCTTTTAGGTCATTTATAGAACCATTTTCAAAGAGGTTCTGCAGCACATTCTCCATGATGCAAAAAACCCTTTCATCATGCAAATGGTTCTTTAAGAGTGTTCATGGTTCTATACAGAACCACTCTTTAATGAAGAACCCTTGAAGCATCATTTTGAGTACAGAACTTCTGAAAAGGGTTCTTCTGTTGTCACAAGCTTGACACTAACAATAGAAGAACCTTTTCGGGTGCTATACAGAACGCTTTTCAAAAAAAACATTAAAGTAGAACCATATACAGCACGTTGTCCATCATGAAGAACCCTCATGATGCAGAGAACCCTTTAATCATGCAAATGTTTTTTTGAGTGTTCATGGTTCTACTCAGAAGCATTTTCTTTACTAAAGAACCTTGAAGTAGCATCTTTTGAGTGTAGAACCTTTTTGAAAAGGGTTCTATTTAGCACCAAAAAGGGTTCTATCACATACTTGACACTAACAATAAAAGAACCCTTTTGGGTGCTATACAGAATGCTTTTCAAAAAGAACATTAAAGTAGAACCATCTACAGCATGTTGTCCATCACGAACCCTTTCATGATGCAAAGAACCTTTTAACCATGCAAATGGTTATTTGAGTGGTTACGGTTCTATACAGAACCATTTTCTTTACTAAGGAAGCCTTGAAGCACCATCGAGTGTAGAACCTTTCTGAAAAGGGTTCTATTTAGCACCAAAAAGGGTTCTCCTATTGTAACAAGTCAAATCGTAACAACTGAAAAACCCTATTGATTTTATTCAGTACCCTTTCTACATAGAACCATCTACCGCACACTCCATCTGAACACTTTCATGTTGCAAAGAACCTTTTAATGATGCAAAGGGTTCTCTGAGTGTTCATGGTTCTAAATAAACCCAGTATCTTTCCTTGGGAACCCTTGAACCATGTGTAAGAGTGTAGACGAGTCAGCATCAACCTTAACACATTTTACAAACACCACAGACAACTAAGTGATAAATAAACGTACTCAAGGTTCCAGTTCTCTTATTCATCTGGGTAACGTCTGTTAGAACTAAGCTATTTTTGCACCATGTTCTGCATTTTGGACTCTAAGCCTGAGTCTAGAGTGAAGAAGCCGAATCAGTATTCAGCATTTAAAATCAAATCGGTTATCCGCCTTATCTATCTAGTACACAAGGCCTCCAGGTTATGCTGTGAATCTCCTATCAGCTAGAACATCTGACTACATGATTCAGGAAATTCCTGCTCCCTAAAGACAGATTTCCAAACCATGCACAGCCAATCCGCAAAGAGATACGAGATCCTTGGCAGCAGGAGTTACCAGTGTTGGTGAACCGGTGGAACTGAGGTTTCTGAAAGGCAAAACTCAGCACTTGGTCCGTCTTTTGTTCTAGCAAGCGTGTAAATACACTAAGAGCACCGAATCAGCTCGAAGTGTTTGGACAACTTGCAACCCAGACAAAAGATTCAGACACTCGGAGCTGAATACGTCCATCAGGGACAGAGAACGTTGGGTGTTCCCTAAAAAGGGGCTCAGACAGCCCTGGATGGGTTCTAAAACCCGTCAATACCACAGCGTAAAAAGCCAGATTTACTCAAGACGATGAAAAAAAGCTGCGTCTCTTTCAAAGCAGGGCCGAACAGATCTGCACTTTCCCTTCAGGATCAATGAAGTTCTATCTATCTCTATGAAGAGCCACTTGATGCCTGTGAAGAACAGTCCAGCCCTCCCCGTCCAATCCTGAATGATTTCAATCCGAATCTTTGTTTCTGTTGAAGCTGCAAAGCAAAACAGCGTTTAAGAGGCAAAAACAGAAGGAACTCAGTCCGGATTTCCGCTGATCAACTATTATAAAACTGCCAAAGCTTTCTGACCCTGAAGCTTAGAAACAACCAAGAACTTAGCAAACAGAGAAGAATCACTGTCAAAAAACACAAAACATGTCCTGGATTAAAAAGCACCAGCAGAAAACTCAGACACTCAACACCTTCAGTATCTCTCAGGTTTCCATTATATATGTCATGTAACTGTGAGAGTCTTACCGGGTGGCAGGGACTGCTTGAGCTTCTCTGCCTTCTCCTTGTCTGTGATGACCAATGTGTACAGGTACCTGCTGCAGCGCACCTTGAACTTCACATTGTCCTTGTTCTTCTTGATCTTGACGGCTGCAGGAACACAAAGCAGCTTCAAAAACTCCAAACAGGCAAATTAAACTCAAAAAATAATTCAGAACTGTAAAACACCAGCAGCAGTATTTACATCTTACAATAAACACTGCAGCAATGAGAGATGAACTCAGACAGCTGAGCCAGAGCAGTTCTAATTTACATCTCTTGCAGTTAGTCAAACTGTTTAGTGCTCAATTATAAAAGATTAAATTCTGCAACTAAACAGGCACAGATTTCTACTGTATATATGTTCATATGGCTAGGCATTTTCAATTCTATGCCATAATTATAGTGTATATTTTAAGGCTCTGTAAGGGACAGCCATGCTTATTTAATCTTTATAGGTTTTATACTGTCCCAAGAAACCAAGGCACCCACTGAAGGGACACATTACAGTGGCTGGTCAAGTCCCAGATAAAGTGCACAAAACGTTACAAACCTAAAAGCTTTTAGGCAGATAGAACATCTATTTATGACTTACATAAATTAAAAAATACACTGTCATAGTTATATTCCCATGCTCTAAAATTATAGTATGACAACATAATACAGGCTGACCCCCTAAGACCCTCACAGAGCAGGTACTATTTGGGTGGTGGGTCATTCTCAGCACTGCAGTAACACTGACGTGGTGGTGGTGTGTTAGTGTGTGTTGCGCTGGTCTGAGTGGATCAGACACAGCAGTGCTGCTGGAGTTTGTAAACACCTCAGTGTCACTGCTGGACTGAGAATAGTCCACCAATCAAAAATGTCCAGCCAGCAGCGTCCTGTGGGCAGCGTCCTGTGACCACTGATGAAGGACTAGAGGATGACCAACACAAACTGTGCAGCAGCAGATGAGCTATCGTCTCTGACTTTACATCTACAAGGTGGACTGACAAGGTAGGAGTGTCTGAGTGGACAGTGAGTGGACACAGTGTTTAAAACTCCAGCAGCACTGCTGTCTGATCCACTCAGACCAGCACAACACACACTAACACACCACCACCACGTCAGTGTTACTGCAGTGCTGAGAATGACCCACCACCCAAATAGTACCTGCCCTGTGAGGGTCCATGGGGGTCCTGAGCACTGAAGAACAGGGTAAAAGGGGGCTAACAAGGTATCAGAGAAACAGATGGACTACAGTCTGTAACTGTAGAACTACAAAGTGCACCTATATAGTAAGTGGAGCTGATTAAATGGACAGTGAGTGTATGTTATGCCTGATCGGTGTTTGCAGGTGGAGCTCTGAAATAAACGTGACCGACTTCCAGATCCAGTAAGCAAGTCAGCAATGAAATCCAGAGGAAAAATGAACCCAAACTCACATTTTGCATCCTTCCGCCTTGCTGTAAGCAGGAAATCTTTGATTTCTTCGATTTTGCGTGGCTGAAGGAGAACAAGAGGGAAACGTTAAGACAGGAAAACATCCACAGTTAGACTCTCAGTAACAGTCAGACATCTAAACCTCAAACAGTTCAGCATTCCCAGCATTAATCAGGATAAAGTGCTAAAATTGACCCTTTGCGAACATTTAACACATTAATTTAATCATTTCAGCCTATTAAGCTTCCACTGAGAACCACTACACGACCTTAAACAACATATACACTGAATAATAACCTTAACCCGGCGTGTTGATAATCGCCAGCTAGCCGTTCCACCTTAAAAGCCGCAGCGGCTACTGTATAGCGCATGTGTTTAAGGTGGAACGGCAAGTTCGAAGAAGCAGCTAAAGAGGTTTCGCGGTTAAAGCGACGAAAACAAACACATTACATGTTATACAAATATATATATATACGTTTAATGGTAACTGCGAAGCTATTTGGTGTCTAAAAATATAACATTTAAGTCAGAAACTCGGCGGAGCGCCGATTTCATCACTCACCATTTTTCCAATCTGACAGCGACCGGACCTGCGAATGAGAAAACACGTTATTAAACCGTTAAAACAGGCGATAGCTCAGAAATAACGCTCGCGATAGACAGTTAACAACTCCAATGTTCTCGTATGCATGTTTATTTATTCATATGTAGACGGATTATTTCACATTTTGGCGGATTATGTTTGAGATTAAAACCGCGAACACTCACACAGCCTACCAGCGGAGGGGAAAAGGGGCGGGGCTTCCGCGCACATAGTACTTATATGTTTGCTACGGCGGCTCAACGCGGACAATTCGCGAAGTCACCCGTGAGCCACAACGGTGCCTGTCGGTGTGGCGGCAGCACTGCAGCCATACAACAAATCGACAAACGGTTTAAAAGGGAAACTCCACCGATTTTTGAAAACGTTGTGCTTTATTCTGTCAATAAGACGTAAACAGAGTCGTTCAGAGTGGTTTGGTGTGAAACGCTCTATTCTAGATAAACTTACCGAGTCAGAACTGTTCACAGTGGTGGTGATAGGAACCAGACGTCCCCCTCTAAAAGCTCCCTCACAGAAAGTTACTTCATGAAATGGTTATGAATTCACTGCCTGATGAGTTTTTTAAAACAAATTTCCCTTAAGATAGTTAAATTCAGAGCTTTATAAGGCAAATCCCCAGATAAATGTGTTTTTTGGATTTATCACCATTTTACCACATTCAGCATTCCATATAAAATCTCAGAAGACGCATGTATGTTCAATGGTTGTTAGTAAATAAAATGGCTTTGTTTACATCTCCAATGCTGAATTACGTAGAAATTCTGAAAAATTGGTGGAATTCCCCTTTAAATTTGCATCCATGAGATCAGTCAGTCCGTGACACTGTGAATTACTGGATTATTTTCTGTATTACTGTTTTTTTGTGTCAGTGAATAAAATGATCAACCGAGATGAAAGGGAAATTCCACCAATTTTTAAAATTATATAATAATTAAATGGTTAAGATGTAAACAGAGTCATTCAGAGCGGTTTGGTGTGAAACTCTCTGTTCTAGAGAAACTTACAGTCAGAATTCTTCACAGTGGTGGTGATAGGAACCAGACGTCCACCTCTAAAAGCTCCCTCACAGAAAGTTACTACATGAGATGGTTATGAATTCACTTCCTGATGAGTTTTAAACAAATTTCACTTAAGATAGTTAAATACAGAGCTTGAAAAGGCAAAATAGCCCCCAAATAAATGTGTTTTTGGATTTATCACCATTTTACCATCATCAACATTTCATAGAAAAATGTGTACGTTCACTGGGTGTTTTGGATAGTAAATAAAATGGCTTTGTTTACATCTCCAATGCTGAATTACGTAGAAATTCTGAAAAAAAAATGGTGGAATTCCCCTTTAAATTTGCATCCATGAGATCAGTCAGTCTGTGATAATATGAATTACTGGACTATTTATATTATTCTCTATATTACTGTTTTTTTTTAGTTTCGGTAAAAAAAAATGATCAACCAAGATGAAAGGGAAGTTCCACCAAATTTTAAAAATATCTAATAATTTAATAGTTGAGATGTAAACAGAGTCGTTCAGAGTGGTTTGGTGTGAAACGCTCTGTTCTAGATAAACTTACCGAGTCAGAACTGTTCACAGTGGTGGTGATAGGAACCAGACGTCCTGCGGAGCAGCTCATTGGCTGTTCACGCTCACTGACATCATGGACGTGCATGAGACGCCATTTTAAACTCCTATATCTCGAGTTTAAAAGCTTATAAAAATATAACAGTGGTGTTAAAATGTTTATGCTGTTCTGTGTTCAGGAAATGATTGTATTATTTATATTAAAAATGTTTAAGCATTTATAAACTATGATTTTGCTCAAATGCCATATTAACTTATTCATTTTGGACTCGCTCAGGAGCGCCCTCTAGTGTTTGAGAAACCCAGAAGACATTACAGAGTGGAAATTCTCCTCTCTACAGCTGTGTCCCAATTCAGGGGCTGCATCCTTTGAAGGTCGTGCTCTACGAAGGCGTGTCCTTCAAAGGCTGCTTACACCTGCAAAGCCTGAACCAAAATGAGACGGTCTGCTCTACAGCGGATTTCCTGTTTGTGTCACAGCACCTCTGCTCCCACCCTCACCGCTGCATCACGAAACGCTGCTCGTCAAGTTCTTTTAAAGTTCTTTAAAGACGGAGTCAGAAACTTCGATTTTAGTGTTGTATTTTTTCGTGTATTAGAGCTGGAGATGCTTCTCTCTGTCGGCTCTTTGCTCCCTAAAACAAAACGAAACATTAGCATGTGAAGGAGCCTTCGAAATGAGACGGCCTAGTCGTGCCGCTGTGACGCAATTGACCCTGAATTGGGACGCAGCTTACAAGTTCTCTGAGTGAGCAGCGTGGTACGTACTTGTCTCCGCCACTGTGAAAGGCTCCTTTTTTGGTTCCTAGATAATTGTTCCTACTAGAATGATGGTTGTGGTGCTTTCGGCGCAAATGGACAGTAATCACAAAGACCAAATACTGCTTTCCTCACAAGCTGACTACTGATTTCTCACCAGGATTTTTTCTTTTTAGCGGGAACACAAAACACACAAACTAAACCCGCCCCCCGACACAAAATAATAAAAATAACACATCTTTACACTTTAAGTTAATAATCAACGATACTAATAATCAGTGGCGTCTCTGGCACAGAAAGCCTGGTGGGGCACAATAAACTGCAGCAGCGACTCGTCAATGAAACTACACACAAACCTGATCCAAACAAACACACTCCATCAATGAAATCACAAATTCGCAAATTAACATAACGCAGGAGTGGAAGTGGAGAATATGAGTGATATGATAACGACATTAGATCTCACAAAACCTGGTTATACAGCATCGCATTATAAAATCCAGAGTTATCTAACAGCAACGATCGCTGTGGTCTGTAAATACACATCCAAAACAACATATCAGAGCAGAGAAACACGCTTTCCGGGCTTTAGGAATAACACGGCTTATAATAATGCAGAATGACTCACCGTGACGTTCACTGCTGAAAAGAAAAGATGTACGACGATCTTTCATCTGGGCAAACTAGTCAAAAACTTTTCTCAAAGTCCAACAACGAGTGAATGAATTCAAGTGACAGCATAGCAAGGGCATGCAAGGAGAGCAGAAAAGTGTTTTAGCTACACTCACAGTTAGCCATGTTTTTCTCTTGAACCTCTCTGGACTGAAGGAGCAGTTTTTGTCCTTTCCAGACTGAATGATGTTGAAATCCTCTGCTGGTGTGTCCCAAACGTTTAATCTCTAATTCCCGCTCTAATGGCTGGAACAAAATTTAACTTTTATTACATTTTCAACTTCACTTGCTATCATGAGTGGCTACCACAAGTGATAAGGAACAGTGGCTAGCTGCGTAGCATCACCCACACTGTAAACGGCATTACTAAACCGGAAAAACAAAAGCTGCACACACTCTCCTGTCTGAATCAACGGTTCTGAGGTAGAACGTGTGTCCAGCTTCAAGTTCCTGGGAGGACACATCTCCGAAGATCTTTCATGGACACTCAACACCTCACACTTGGTTAAGAAAGCATGGCAGCTCCTCTACTTCCTGAGGAGACTAAAGAAGGAACATCTGTCTCCTCAGATTCTCGCAAATGTCTACCGCTGCACCATCGAAAGCGTACTGACCAACTGTGTGACAGTGTGGTACAGCAGCTCCACTGAGCACATCACTGAGGGCACATGGCTCCCTGCCATCAGAGACATTCACCACCAGCGCTGTGTGCATCATCAAGGACTTCTCCCACCCCATATATATATATATATATTACTATTTGCATAGGAATCAAATACATGAAAAATTTTAATCTGGTTTTAGGCCACATCATAGTACAAAGACAGCACTAGTAAAAATTGTAAATGATCTTCTATTATTGTCTGACCAAGAAAATGTGTCCTTGCTAGTCCTCCTCGATCTTAGTGCGACCACACTATCTTACTAGATAGACTCGAAAACCTTGTAGAGGTAACAGGAACAGCTCTTTCCTGGTTCAGGTCCTACCTCACTGATCGCTATCAGTTTGTTAATATAAACGGTGAATCATCTGCCCTCGCAAAAGTAAAGTGTGGTGTTCCACAAGGCTCTGTTTTAGGACCCGTATTAGTCACACTATATATGCTACCACTGGGCACCATTATCAGTAAACACAGCATAAACTTCCACTGCTATGCCGACGACACTCAGTTATATTTAGCAAGCGAACAGGATGATAAAATTAAACTTAGCAAGATTGAAGACTGTATAAAAGACGTAAAGGACTGGATGTCGAGTAACTTTTTCCTTCTAAACTCCGATAAAACAGAGGTTCTACTTCTTGGTCCAAAAGCAGCTAGAAACAAACTGTCTAATGTTACACTTAAACAATTTCTCAGTTGCATCAAGCTCAAAAAACCTTGGTGTCATTATAGACCCTGATCTGTCCTTCGACGCATATATAACTAATATTACTAGAGCAGCCTTCCTGCATCTCCGCAATATTGCTAAATTGAGAAATGCATTATCTCTACAGGATGCAGAAAAGTTAGTTCATGCATTTATTACTTCAAGGCTAGATTACTGTAATGCCCTGCTGGCTGGATGCCCCAGCAAAAGCCTTAACAAGCTTGAGTTGGTCCAGAACGCTGCAGCCAGAGTTCTTACTAGAACTTGAAAGTCAGCCCAGATCCATATCAGCCCAGTTTTATCAACCTTACACTGGTTACCAGTTAAATTTCGCATTGATCATAAAATTCTCTTACTGACTTATAAAGCACTAAACGGACTCGCCCCTCAGTACCTGAGTGAACTTCTCTCCCACTATGAACCATCACGCCTACTTAGATCACAAGGTGCTGCTCACTATTAGTACCTAGAATTAATAAAGTTACGTCAGGGGGGAGAGCTTTCTTATACAAAGCCCCCCAGCTTTGGAATAATCTTCCTGTTAATGTTCGGGACTCAGACACAGACTCAGTGTTTAAGTCTAGGCTAAGCTAGTCGTATATTCAAGCATTTGGTAATTAGTTTTCCCTGTCAGACCTGCCAGAGTCTCCGCTGCTCTGCTAACACTGTAAACTGTGATCAGTCACCCATTACAGAACTGACTCTCTGTAGGTTTTTCCTTTCTTTCTTTACTTTGCCGAGTTGAACAGCTGCCCATCCTGTGTGTCTGATGCTGCTGCCTCTTCTGCCTTGAACGGGTGCCACCGCTCGCCAGCTCTCTGGACTGGCTTG